TCATATATGCTCATAGCGCGATATATTTACAGACCAAAACCTAGACAAGGTATTTCCCCCATATACTGTACAGACCAAAACCTGGATGTGTAGTGTATGTATATTTCTCAATGATGCAGATTTTCCGAAATTCCAAGTTGAATCAATGGAGAACGAAGCTTTGAGTGATCAAGCTATGCTCCTTGCAGGGCATGCAACCCGATGCCATCAACCTCCAATTTCGGAGGGCTTATGAAACCCATTTCTTGTGATGTGGCGGATGGCTTATCATTGGGTTTGCATGGATTTACCATGGTTTAGCATATTATATGTTTGTTTTTTTACCTAGAGTCGGTCTTCCGGGATGTCTTATCCCGGGGTTTCCCCATGTGCCTTTGGTCATTGTTCTGGCTCGACCTTTCTTAGGACTGGCATGTTGCTGAAGCGGATGAAGGAGACTGCGATGACGAGGATGTTCAGAGATGTGGGGATGAGATGCCGGAAGGATGTCATGGCCAAAATGGATCAAACTTCATCGGTTGCTTGTGAGCTGTCGTTTGAAAACTAAGATGGAACCCGAGAAGTTGTAAAAATCTGTGAGCATGATTACTGTCACAGGTTGATAGGTTGTAATTTGATGTAATTTGGGAAGATTGGGTTTTCATATTGATATCCTCCAGTTCTCGGGGAAGGTGTGGTCGTAGTTTCTACACTTTTTTTGTGGTTGATTCCCACCAATGATGATCCCCGCTGCAGCATGCTGCCGCGCAGATCCTTGCAGGATGCCGCGGTCTTTCAAGAGGAACAGCCTAGCAAGTTTCAGGACAGCGAAGTGGCAGCTGTAGGGTTTTTCCTAAGCCATAGGGGAACCCATGACCCCCAAATCATTCAAAGTTGCCCATTTGTTTGGCGGGAAATCAATGGTTTCATTTTGGGAATCATCTGAAGTTCAGGGAGCCCCACGAAGAAGGGCACACCCCTTGGCCTGAATTTCTTGGTGAACCACCCCAAAATACAAAAACACAACCAGAAAAACAACCGACCCCATAACTTTTAGGGTACCGTATTGGCTGATTGCTCAACCATCACCAACTGGAGGTTTATTGGGTTTGTTTCATGGTTTCGTGATTTGATTCAACAAGATGCGGATACAACAAGTGCTGATGATGCATGCACATGGTCTTACATAGGCATAATTTCGCATAAATGATCTAAATGCACAACAACTGGTTATATAACAATCATTAACAATCCATGTATATAAGGACCTACTTGCATGCGCATCCAAATTTGCAGGTGCCTGTAACCGTAACCCAAATATATGTTTGCTTTATCAGTTTTATGAGTTTAACATGTTGCAAAGTCACGTGCATACCGAGCGGAATTCAAATCCCTAGCTTCAAGTTTCTGTTTGCCTTTTTGGATTGGGTGGGCTGTCCAAAGTCATGATTTGCATTATAAATATGTATATATATATATGTGTGTGTGTGTGGGTGTGTGCGCGGTTATAAATTATAAATACATCTGTGTAGCCCCCCAAAGATCTTTGTAATATGCTGAATTGGTGATCTAGCTGTTTTTTCCCCATCTGAGAAACCCAGCAGCGAGAAGCTTGAGGAGTACATGGGCATTTTCTTTGACTACATTTTCTGGATCCTTTTGGCCTATTGTGCTGGCTTCTAAGTTTGGGGATCAAACTTGTGAGCCAATTGGGTCCTTGCTGATCGAAACTCCGTCCCACCCCTCTAGTAATCGGGCCCCACTGCACGTGGGACCCTGCAATGATGTAGATCTCAGTGGGCGGAACGAGGGTATGTGGGGGATGTTGATTCTTGGGGGGAACTGATTCAACATCTAGACTTGTCTGAACATAGGCTAAATCTGCTGATTAATTATATAATAATTAGTCATATTTTTACCTATTGAAATGGCTATTTGGATCTGTTTGGAGGTAAACGACATTTTCAAACAAAAATTCTTTTGCAAACTGGTCGTGCTGTTCGTGTTCTCAGGTCGTGAACGCAGCCATATGGATGGGTGAGAAGATGGGCCAGAGCCTGATCTGGGCGGCTGCCGCTGACTGCCACGGTGAGGAGGATATTAGATGATACTGTGGTTGCTTGGAATCGACCAATGATGTACTTTGACTTGATTGAGCTTTATGAGTTGTTTGATTTTTGAAGAGGATGGTGATGAGACTAAGTGACTAAGCCCTTCTAATCAAACATGGCCGGAAGATCTCTAAATTTTCAGCAGGAAAATCGAATTCTTTAGCAGAGGGCCAGGGTGTGGACGAGGGCCCATCGTGGGACCGAAATTACCATGGTCGTGGTGCTTTGGCTCAAGCCCTGAGGAGTTTGCAGCGAGGAGTGATGGCTCTTATTTTCCCCAGTTGGGATGATCCAATCTGACGAACTCCATCATTTCTTCAGGGGGAAGGTATACCAACCACCAATTAGATGAGATCCAAGGATTGAAGGGATTTTTCTTTACTGGAAATCATGGATTTTTCATGGGTTTCTCCATGTTTTTTTCCCATGAAACAAGCCGGGCTTTGCACACCCCGGAAAGACCAATCCCGATCCTTGAGATCCCATCCATTACCATGAAAAAACCCACCAGGTCCCACCAATTTCAGTCGGTCTTGCGATGCGGAGCCCAGGGGAATCGAAAAGGTAATACATCATCGTTGAAAAGAATCACAGGAACTACGGGGACTTGAATTTGGCCATCAAGATCATCCAGTATATATATATATAATACACACTAACAAACATACAGTACATGGCGAGATTAAGCAAGAGAGTTCCAGATCTAAACTTTGAAGCAACACTGGGGATTGAACATGAGTCAACCAACAAAAAGAGGTGCATCAGGTAACAGACAAAAAAAAACAAGCATCGGGCTGGGAGATTGAATCGATGTATCCTCCCCGAAACAGCCATGGTTCTGCGGGTTCCGTCATGCCGTCGTGATGGTCGTCCACAACAACCCGTCAATTGACTCAGTGTTTTTGGAGAGTCACTTCCAAGGCGGACATTTTGGGGTGCCCGAAGTTTCAGACAAACCATGTCAGAAGCGGTTTTGCCCCTGAGTGGGTGAAGTCGACTCTTGAGCCTCTGGGGCCAACATAGAGGTAATGATTTATGTCGTGCCAGCATCAATATGCCCTTGTCTTCCTATGCTTTGGTTCATCATGAGATAAGATAAGAGCTCTTTGTCCCCAGTAGAATTATTGCCCATTATATTATATTCTAGAATGTTATAGATATTGCCTTGTATCCCCATGCCCAAATGTATAATCGCCGTTCCCCATCAAGCGCTCGCTTCCGGGCATTTCTTGAGGTCGTATGACTTCGCACGACTGGAAAGCTGCTGCCAACGCTGTGCCGAGCGGCCCATAGGTCCGAGTTCGTGTGCATCTCACTTATGTTGGGAATGTTTCGAACGTAATTACAATGAAAACGGCCAGAAGCCCCCAAAACAATTCTGTTTATGGGATGTTCATCACTATAGGGGGTTTGACATGATTTGACCCACAACTGTGTTTGAAGCGATTTGCGTGATGAGAAATCAGAGGCTGTAGGGAAGAAAACGGTAGCAAATCTATGTTGCTTGCAGGCCCTGGCCTGACATATGCATATGGATTTTGTAGATCGACAAATAGATAGACATAGATATACAGACATGGATGCAGATATCCATATAGCAGACCTTCTGGATGACTGCGGCGGTTTCTAACGGACGCCCTTGTGTGCTGGGTTCAGTGCAAGGAATAGGAGCACTGTTATCCAGACTACACTTCTATTCTATTTTCGAACCATTAAAAACATATCATGATATCCTGCATCTTGCCATGCTGTGTATTCATGTTTATCCCACATAACTTGATGTCCCGTGCTGAATTCCCCGGTTTTTCTTGGTTTCACTGCCCGTGTCGCCATGAACTTGCTGGCGGGCGCCTTGCTTTTTCGCCTCAGCAGCGCCTGGAATTGTTCCTACGAGGCCTTGGCCTCGCTCCCAAGCGATCTCGCCCCTCGAGCTACGTCACCGTTTGATCACCATCTGCTGATTGCTGGTTTGGAACATTTGGATTGTTTTTGGGAATAATCATCCTGACGAACTCATATTTTTCAGAGGGGTTGAAACCACCAACCAGCCATGGTTTTATCGACCGTTTCCCCCTCGATCATCACAGATCCTGGGAGCAATATGGAGCAATATATCAATATGGAGAAATGGGAATAGCAATTTGCTCACTTGGAAAGTCAAATTGTAAATTGTAAGCTCTCAAAGCCCAAGTCGATCCGATCCTAGTTGGCGGGGTTTATGTTGGTTGGACCTGAAGCAACTGAAACTGGTATGCACATCATGGTGTTTAACCTGCATACACTCAGTCACGCCAGCGGTGGCACGGCAGCTTCATGATGTCTCATGAACTTACATGATGTCGATCTGTGTGATTTAAACTTAATATTGAGATTTTCGGTCAAAGATCTCTTGCGATTATTCGATTACTGGGAACCAGGGGTGGCAGCCGAACAGAATAATATGACGAGTAATATATGTGTTATATGTTAGATTCTGCCGCAGTTTTTTTTGTCAGCATTTTGATCCTTCAAAATCCATATCCCTTTGGATACATGGCCGGTCCATACAGTATACTTCAAGCTTTTGACTTTTCGAGCACACCAGGTGCTTTCTCCCGCCACCCAAGCATCCAAATGAGGTCAAAAACTCGCTGGACATTGACAAGTTGGCAGGGGAATGGTACGAACAGATGCTTGGTGGAAGGATTTCACATGATTTCCACTGTCAAAAGGGTCAAGTGATGGTAAAGCCACCGGCAGAGATGGGGGCAGAGTCATGCCAATCGCCTTCGGCAAGAGTTTTATAGTGTTTTATTGTCGCAGAATACCATGGTAATCCATGGTATATGTTGTCGCATTTTCATGGCTCAAAGTCTCAATTTTGACCCGCCCTGCTTATTCTTGAAGAGACGCGCCTTGATTTTCCCTTCCATGGAAATCACGAAGACTTCTGTCCTGCGATTTGGCACCCTGCTGCTTCAAGCTGCTGCTCTATTGAGGCTTCTTTGCCTTTTGAGTTCCTTCCTTTGGTCTCACAAATGGTCCATCCCATCGGCTTTTGGCTCTTGCAGCAAGTATTGCAGGCAGATCCAAAGCTGGTTGAAGCGTCAGCAAGGACATGGTGATAGCAGCAGTGAACAGGAACTCGGTGTGATGCGCTGCAAATGGATGTGGCGCTTTGCTTTTATTGGTTGTGTTCTCTCCATGTACCGAATGATTTCTCGACAGGCTATGCGACATGATGTCACTACAGGGTTTGATCTCAATATTTTGGTTGCTGCCACTTGTTCGCTCTTGGTGGTTTCATTTCCTGGGCTGCTGAATCCGAGAAGCCAAGACATCGTATATGTGGTGATGATGTTTTTCCTAGATGCTTCGTATTTGATCCCGCCCGTGGAGGTAGATGTCCGAGATGTGATAGCTTTCAGCTTTCCAGGGCGCTTCATATACGGAGCGCTGGCCAGACGGACCAGTGCAACAGCATTTTGTATGTTACTCCATTTGCTCCAAGCACTTCAGATAGCCAGATTACAAGGACTGCAAGAAGATTCAGCTGGAACAGATCACTCCCACCAAACACTCTTCATCTTGTTCTGGATGTTTTTGGGCATCCTGACTGTCCGGCAGCTGATCCATGAGAATGCGCTTCTTAAGGTGAACTTACAAAAGAGGAGCGTAGAGCTGGGTGCAGTCTCTTCTTTGTTGACTCCGTGCTATGATGCGGTTGTCGAGCTGGACCAAGGCTTAAAATTGACGCAGGATCCTTTACTCTATTTTTTCAGAAGCGTTCAAATCATTTTGCCCACCTTCTGGTTGTTTCTTTCTTGTTTTCTTTCACCATGTAATGGCAACAGGGTGTTGCGAAAAGTTGAAGTTGAAGCCACCTCATTTTTTGACTAGCTAGCCTGGAATGTGGAGCTAGTGGGCTAGTGGCACGCAAGGATTCGGGCCAACTCTCATCTATGCTTCTCCAAACTGCACCAAAAGTTGGTGGTTTGGCAGGGAAGTCATTGCTTGACTTCTTCAGCGAAGGAGACAGAAAGCGTATCTCCGAGCAAGTGCTCAATCCTGTTGAGAGCGTCTCTGTGCTGGCTTTGAACGCGGACATGCTGGATTCCGACTTCAACCACGTGAAAGTGGAGCTGTTCTGCACACGGTTCAAGAATTTTGCAAGTGAGAGGTGCTTCCTGGTGGGCTTGCGAGAGCTTCAAGACTTGGAACCTCATGTCCGTGGGACGCGAGTATCGCGTGGTCCTTCAAACGGGTCCTTAGGCAATGAGGCTCTCATCGTGGTTTTTGACCTGCATAGCTTTGACATTCACACCATGAATGGTGAGATGCAGCGGCTTTGCAGACCCTACTTAGGGGACACAACCCCCGATGCTTGGCAAAGCCGAGGATTCATGGGTCAAGTCAGACATATTTGAAGCCATGGAGGTAGGCGTAATCCCTGCCTCCTAATACTAAACCTTGCCCCTGGAGGAGTTTTAGTATTAAGGGGTATTTAATATGAGGGCGCGAAGCTTCCCCTAATACTAAATTCAAAACCTTAATCAAAATAACTGTGTTTTTCTCAAAATAATGAACATATTGTCAAACATTGGATTTCGAACGTTCCCCTAATATTAAACTATAGTTAAATTATAGATAGATTTGATATTGCATGGTGTTATTTGCATTCCAAAGTCTAACCGACGGTTACCCTAATATTATCTACTGTAATATTAATATTAAACTAAAACCATTGTTGTAAAAAAAAAATGTTGCTTCAATTTAAACTCAATTAGATCCATTTGAAACTCTAATTAACATATTGCAAACAATTGGATTTCAAAGGTTCCCCTGATTTTTTTTTAAAAAAACAATAAACGCAACATTTTCGATTTTAAAGGACGGACCCTAATTAAAAAATACCTGGGTGTTGACTAGTTGTTGTTATTAGGGGGCGAAACCTTTGAATGGGACCTTCATGTTTTATATAATTGTTTTCCAAAGGGTATCAACTATAAATCAAATTGGCCAATTTGAATTTCCAAAAATTGAAAACGAACGCTAGTTTTTAGTTGTTGGGGTACGTTTATGTACGTTTAGTATTAGGGGGAAAACGATTGATTAGGCATAGGCATTGAGGAAATATATATGTTGAACTCATGAGAAGAAGTATCACAATGCTTCGTTGATTGGTATTCCTTGCGGTTTCCGTTCCTATATATAATATGTTCAAACGGGCCCAGGACAACATTCTGGACATTGCGAGCCAAGACACGCGGCTATCGCTTTGCCGGCAGTTGCAACAGTTGGGGAATGCCATCGCTCAAGAACCACACGAAGTCATAAGAGAGGCTACTGTGACTTTTGATTTGCCAGGGGTCAGTCAGGTGAAAGCACATGTGACCATTGAACATGATCACTTTCTCGTCGTGTGGATGGGATCCATGGTCATTCATCTAGATCATCTAGCTGTGCATGGGGGGGCCACCACCTTGACTGCGTCAAACCTCCAAAACTTGCCGAGTAGTTTTGCGTCTGGAAAGATTCTTCAAAGTGGGCATCGGTTGGTTGGCCTACAGTCATGGCCTCGCAGTGAACGCAGTCACTCAAAATGCTCCTCAAGATACTCAAGCCATTCCAGTTCCCGCAGTTACCCAACTCGTTCAAGATCAAGTCGCCAGGCTCGGTCGCAACGTTCTGAAGCCTCTGGTGCCATTAGTGAGATGTACCAGCTGCACGAAGTGCGCTTCACAAAGTCTCGGCTGTAAAGTGGTGCTGCATCAGCTCAAGCTGTGCAGCTTCCCCAGATCCCTTTGCCAGTGATGCTCGAAGTGTAGGTGCTGGGCCCCGTGAGGCCCCGTTTTCATTCTAGTTAACTTTTTGTTTATCCGCATGGAGTATCAGGTGTCAAACAAGGCTGCTTTGGTCCTGCATCCATTCCCTTCAGCAGTTTACCTTGGCTCCCTTCTATTCTCTTCTGTTCCTTTTTCTTTCCATCTTGCTCCTTTTATCCACCTTCTCATCCCTTTTCCCATGTGTTTTACTATGTTTTTTACATGTTCTTTTCGTATGTCTTCCATTTTTAGTATGTTTTCGTTGTTTTTCCTTCTGCTTTTGCTTCATCCTGCATGTCTTGCTTGTTCTTTTCCTTCTACGCACATTTCACCAGGTATCTCAGAGGGATTGCGGCTGGCTTCGAGTCACCCTGGAGCATCGACAATATCAAGTGGGTAGCACCAACTTTTGATCCTTGCTTGTGGAATTCTCACAAGATTACTTCTGCAAACAACATGTTTAACCATGCAAGCAATCATCGAAAATCGAATGTTTCGCAAGGATGCGATGCTCGGGCTTTTCCGTTTCCCCTTCCATATCGTTGTCCTTTTTCTTTTCCCCTTGCTTTTCTCTTTGCCATACCTCTCCTGTGTTCTTTCCCAATGGAAGCAACCATACACGGTTTGCACTAGGTCACTAGGCTTAAAATAGGTTCCTTGGCCTCGTTTGTTGATGTTCGCCTTCCTTTCCCTATGCCTTTTTTCCTTCCTTGTTTTAAAATGTTTTAAACAATTTCGTTTGCCTTGTTCCCCACCTGCCAGGTGAGGGCCGGTGAGCGTCTCTAGATTTTAGCAAAGGTGCTTCCGCTCGTCCTTTTCTTCTTCTTCCTCCGCCTCCTCCTCTTCATCTTCCTTTTCACTGTGGGCACCAACGCGCCCCCGATCAGCAAGCGCCAGCTCAAGTGGAGCAATCTCGTTCCAGAAGACCTATTGCAAGCTCCAGGGCGATCTGGGCGTGCACGGGCCCGGAGCCTATAGCATCCTATAGCCTTATAGGGAACTCCAGATCAGTTTGGGCACACACGGGCCCGAACACATGCCAAAAAGAATGTCAGACCAGATGCCAGAAAGAATGCTAGGATATATTCCAAATAGAAGGCCTGAAAGAATGCCAAATAGAATGGCAGAATATATGTCAGATAGAATGCGAGAATGGACGCGAGATAGAATGTCGGGTAGAATGCCATGTAAAACGCCAGATAGAATGCCAGATAGAATGCCAGAGAATATGCCTAATGGAATGTCAGTTGGCGGGTGCCACTCGGATGCTTTTCGTTTAAAAAAGGAACATCGAGCACAGTGGCAAAATAAGAAGTAGGCAGGTAGCTGAATGAAGTTTTGGTGGGTCTCTGCACCCAGCAGGGTTATTGCTGGTTGCATTTGGTTCCAATGCAGTTTGTATTGCTGCGTTGGGATTCCAAGTCTTGACCTTATACTTCACTCCTGGCCCTGCAGCCAGGTGTTTTTTTATCGTTCTTTATTTTAATTAGCATGGTGCTGACTGCCTGAATCTGTTTCACTGGCCCAACTTCTGGGTCACGAGGCGCGATTTTTGCCAAACGTCTGCGACGGGTGTAAGAGGCGACGGGTTCGCACTGGTGAACTCATTTAGCGGGCTTACTTTTGAACACTTTGCATCATTCTGCTTATGGGTACTGAATTTGCAGATGCTCGGCCTCTCCCACAGATCTTGTAAAAAGCCGGGTCTGGGGCTGCAATGTAGATAATGCACCGTGCATGTAATATTGCATATTCTATGTCCCGGAACGTTTGTCAAAAACCATTGCTTGAGGAGTTTCCATGACTTTGCGCAAGTGGGGAGCCGTTGCCAACGCTTTCACTTCAGAACCGACCCTGGGCCGCACAATGCTGTGAGAAACGTTTACGTGCCCCCAAGTCGCATGTGTGGTTGATGGCCTGTGCGTCACATATGAACAGCTGGTTCGTCCCATGTCCAAATCCACCATGACCCATTCGAAGTGGGGCATGCGGCATACGGTATACGTGAGAAGTAGGCTACGAGCCAGTTGCCGACATGGACCGGAAATGTTGCAATCAGGGCTCATTTTTGGGCGATTTTTTTGGGGAAGGATATGGACCATCATGGGATTCGATTCCCGCTGGGGCTGAGCAAATCACTACTCTTCGGATTTTTTTCGTGTTTGCTTTGGATCCGCAAGAAAATGGTGTTAGTATCGGCTAGGGGGCTTAATGATATACTGTAAGGCTTTGTCTGCCGGGCGGGTTTGAGGAGCACCTAAAAAGCGAGTAGGGGTGGAGGCCTTGCGTCCAAAAGATACAACTTGAAAGCGCAAGGGTGCCATTACAGCCAACATTCACTGACGATTGGCCGGGGTGGAGCGGAGGGTGGTCTTTGCTTGTATACAACTTGTAAGGGTGACAGCCGGCTCCGGCCGGCTCGGCACGGATCAATCAGACAGCGAGGGAAGCCACTAGCGCAGCCACTGATTGTTGAGCGTGCGCTGGGGAAACTGACGCCGCATTGAATTAGGGGCGCTTCACTGCCCCTTATTCGTTCAACAATGCACTGGCGTTCGTTCCACCTAGGTTTGAAGTATTTGCGGGATTTTGCGGGCATTTCAATTGTAGCCGTGCAGAGTACAGGCGGCAGTCAATTCCAAACGGTTTAGCCCAATGTCATCCCGTGTCACAGCTGTTGGTGCACTCCACTTTTGCAAGTTCAGGGGCAACACCCAATTTCGGCCTAGTGGAGGCAATGTCGCGTAAGGTGCAGCTGGCTGAATACAATGAACATAGCCATGTAAAGCTACAAGACGAAACATTGTGGGCATGCGATTTGGATATTGTTTTTGGATCCCCGTGTGAATTTCCCTTAGTAAATGCTATGACCTGGGTCCCGGAAAGTGAAGCAAACAGTAAACATCTCCAGACCCATGATCCACATTTAGTAGAGAGGTGAAATTGATACGTTAGTCGAGTCATGTTGGTCTCTTAAGAGACTTCGAACATATATCAAAATCTTGCACTTCGGCTGAACCAAGGGCCCACATTAGTGGTGAAATTCGATCATGCATGTACATCAGCTACAAACCGTTTCTTCACTACAAAATGGTTACACAGCCTTCACCTTAAATTCACAGGAGGATGTCTTTGGACTATGCATTAGTCGCCCTTGGAAAATGTTGTGAATTTGCTTGGTTTCAACATAGTATATTTTCGGGATTTGGCCCAATACCCCAGCACTTCCTGCCGCAACTTGGGTGCACATCAAGGTTTCAGATTCCATTGAAAGCAACTTCAGCGTCGCTAGCCGGGCTATTTGGGGCCGCAGGGTTGTGGAGAGTGGCTATTCCGGAAATAAAACATGAAATATAGAAAGCCATAGAAAACCAACTTTGTTTTCGTAAAGTCTATCTATTGCAAGATTAAATCATCGCTAAGTGGTGGAATGACGACATTGAATTTTTCTCTCTAACCCTGATTCGGGGTGCCTTTTGTCATGCATTTGTAGATTTACATGGACCAATTTTCACCAGACCTGGAAATACACACGCAGAGTTTCCGGGTCTAGCTTTCCCACAGTGACAAACCACGGACAGTGGAGGTTCGAGGTCCCTGTTCAGTCATGGCTTCAAAAGTCACTTCTACAACACAGGCAGGTAGCCAGCTGCGATAGATCTAAACAAAATGCATAGCGGCATAGCACAAAAATTAGCAGATATTAGCAGACAATGTTGGAATTGGAAAAAATGCGCCATAACATGAATCGTTCGAGTTTTGGTCCCATGTGGCATGCAGCTGATGACGTGACAAGTGCTCAGCCGCACGGCCCTGGGACTCCTGCCGCTGAGGTGATCTACGGCGCCAGGATCCCCTTCTTCATTCGAGAGCATTACCGACCACCCCCAGCACCGACCCACATGAGGGGCATTTTCGCCAAGCTGCTGGGCCCGGAATCAGCTGGTGCTTTTTTGGCGGCTTCTGCAAAACCAAAGGGACGTTTTATTTTTCATCCCGGGCGGTAATCCAAAACGCTTGACCACAAGTAGGTCCAAAAAAAATAAATAGGGGCACGTGATGCCAAGCTACACACAGGAAGGCGAAGTCAGTTTATGCTTACGTTATCAAATTTCTTAAACACAAAACATGGGAAATCAATAGTTGAGAGATGTTGAGAGCATTGTTTAATTAGCCAATTGTTTCTGATTAAGTCAGTGTTTTCTCCTTTTCCTAATGTATCAATCGTTCCTGCCCGTCAGCGAACCTCTACCAACCCAGACCACTGCATATATATCTGCATATGACATTGCAATTTAGCGGTGCTGATCAAAGCTGTTTGTAAGATATCGACAGAGCGCCCTCTTATTTTCAGATTCCCCGGAAAGATTAATGCAATCCAGCCTGGGCCCTAGACATGAATGGCTCTCACGAAATTTCATGTATGTTGTTGATAATCCATGAACCTGGGCAGTTGAAAAAACATATCACGTTGGCATAGATGATTGTTATTGCTGGGAGGGTGACTTCCGCGATTGTTTGTTCATTTTTTCCTGCTCGGCGAGTTCAAGATTTTTCTAAGCCAGATGGACGCGATTAAAAGAATCATCCATAGCCAACAGCCATGTGCTGATTGGGGACGCTTTGGCTGATTCCGGCATTGGGTACGTGTAGCAGGTAATATAAGGACCCAACGAATCACAGCTCTTGTAGTCAAGGGTATGACCTGCAGCATCCATGAAAACATCACTTGGTTCTTCAATCTTCTAGCCGCTTTGGGTTTGCCACGCTCGTTAGCGAATTCAAACATCTAGGGGCATACCATAGCCACACAACATTTTTCCCCACCTGCCAGGTGAGGGTTGTTAGATTTTATCAGAGTTGTTCTCCTCTTCCTCGGCCAGCTGTCCTCCTCCTGGTCCTCCTCTTCCTCGCCTCCTCCTCCTCCTCCGCCTCCTCCTCTAGTTTCTCCTCCTCTAGTTTCTCCTCGACCATGTCTGCATCAACTTCCACCTCCACTTCCGCCTTGCCAACTCTTCGCCAAGCTCTTTGCCAACTCTCTTCGCCAAGCTCTTTGCCAACTTCCCAGCTCAGTGTGCACCGCAGGACCTCAACCTGGGATCTTCCCAGCTCAGTGCGCACTGCTGGACCTCAACCTGGGACCTTCCCAGCTCAGTGTGCACCGCTGGACCTCACCCTGGGACCTTCCCAGCTCAGTGTGCACCGCTGGACCTCAACCTGGGACCTTCCCAGCTCAGTGTGCACCGCTGGACCTCAACCTGGGACCTGCCCAGCTCAGTGTGCACCGCTGGACCTCAACGGCCAGATAGAATGCCAGAAGATATGCCAGATAGAATGCCGGAAGATATGCCAGATAAAATGCCAGAAGATATGCCAGATAGAATGCCAGAAGGTATGCCAGATAAAGTGGCAGAATGTTTGCCAGAACATATGCCAGAAGATTTGCCAGATAGAATGACAGAAGATATGCCAGAAGATATGCCAGATAGAGTGCAAGAAGATATGCCAGAACATATGGCAGAAGATATGTCAGATAGAATGCCAGAAGATATGCCAGATAGAATGCCAGGTCAAGTGCCAGAAGGATCCAGAAGGTATGCCAGATAAAGTGCCAGAATGTTTGCCAGATAGAATGCCAGAAGATATGCCAGATAGAATGCCAGATAAAGTGCCAGAAGGATCCAGAAGGTATGCCAGATAAAGTGCCAGAATGTTTGCCAGAATGTTTGCCAGATAGAATGCCAGATAGAATGCCAGATCGAATGCCAGAAGATATGTCAGATAGAATGCCAGAAGATATGCCAGATAGAATGTCAGAAGATTTGCCAGTAACAAAACGTATAACTGTCATGGTGCGCATCACACGAAGTAAAGCAATTCTGTTTTTTCTTTTTTTGGCCGGAACCAAACCACCCGTTTTTCAGCCTATATTACCGAGGTGCCGAGGTAAACAAATCAGTTGAAGGAAGTAATTTCATTAAATTTAGCCAGATGAGGCAAAGCTTTTTAGGTGCATTCCTGCATCTTGACGTTTTCTTTGGGAATATAAAGCGGCTTGAAACGTCATATTTTTTTTGAACTATTGGCCGTGGCATTCGTCCTGGTGGACGTGGTGGCGGAGGCTGTGACGGCAGGGTACATTTTGTCAGCAGCAGGTTAGTTGTTCAACCCTTCCTGTTGCTAGCCCCATCTGACCACCACCAGCCCCAAAGAAACAAGACCCAATCAAATCCACAGGGTTTGGACATGACGCGCAATGATTCAAGAACGAACTGACGAGGTAAGATTTGGAAAAAAGGGCCGGATGGTAGAATTGTGACTTGGTGATGTAAACTGAGAACGGTTTTGCGCGCGACAATCTTGGAAAAATGGAGAGGCTGCGATTTGTTGTTTGACAACGAGTGGGCCCATGTCATGTGGAACCCATTCAAACCACCATTAATTTCTGGTTGAGAAGCAATACGAAAAAACAGAGCTGGGGCCAACATCAGCCAGCAGGAAACTTGACAACCGGTTGAAATTGAAGCTACCAGCTCCTCAGCGCTGGACGCATGGGGTAAACCTTGATGTTTGTTGGCTGGCCAATAGCAGCCACCAATAAAGCAAACATGCAGCAACATGCAGCGTGTAAATCATTCGGGCGGCGATAAATTCCAGTGTCAAACCCGTTGAGCTTGAAATATGCATTTTGTTGGAACAGGTGCTGAGGCTGGGTTCAACCCCATAGATATTGTTTTCCGGGGGGCCTTTTGATCAGGATATCAACATGTTCTGCTGTTGGATTGGCAATTGGTTGGGACCTTGATGTTTTCCTTGTGCCAGTTGCAATATTTGAAGACAATATCAATAGCATGTATATTATATATAATTATATAATATTATATATATAGTTTTATGTGTGTGTAAATAGTGTGAATATGTATTTTCTATATGTATATGTAATTATATATATATATATATATAAACAATTATATACATACATGCATACTCCCAACTGCCCAAGTCGCAAAAATCTTGAAATTAGCTTGGGGGAAGGCTTTTGTGGAAGTCGTGGCGATGCGGCGTTTAGCTTGTGTTTAGGGTAGGTTGCTGTTTTACTATCTCATGTAGACCTAAAGTGGCGAAGCGGCGTTTAGGTTGTGTTTGGGGTAGGGCGTTGTTTTACTATTAGCATAGTGCTTTAATCTTGCTAGTTGCGTTCTCATTGTGTTTGGGATGGTTGCTGTTGGGTTCTGCAGCTACTGGCGTCTTGCTGTTGCTGCGGCTGCTGGTTCGACGGCTGCTGCTGTTGCTGTTTCCGGGTACTTCTACACAACGCTGGGATTATCATCTCTACACTGCCATGGCGGTGTGCTGGGATTCTGCAAATTGTCATTGTTTCGCTACCAGTGATCCAAGGAAGGGCAGGTTTGCGGCTTGCGGGCCAAAGTCCATGTGTGTAGATGCGGGGCTTTTTCCGTACCTCGTTTTGACCTCGTTTTGGACCTCGTTTTTTTCCTTTATCAGAACCCATCCTGAAGTATACAAACTAGAAAAGGGCCTGCTTCGCGTTTTTGTTTGTGGGCGTCAACAGTGCCCACGAAAAAAGGCCCGTTGGAAACCGGCGTTCCGATGGGATTCGATCAAAAACGAATAGAACCATGATAGTTTGGTCAAGGCTTGTTAAAGCTAGCGTTTCCAATGGGGAAAGGGGTTTTGCAAGGTCTGTGCCGGGACAGGGGTCGTGGCGAGCGTTTTGATTGGGAATAGCTGTCAAACGCAAACATTGCAAGGACTTTGGCGTATGGGTGTAATAGTTATATGTATATATATATATATTCAGTAGTATATATGCGCGTGCGTTATTTATGTTTTTATTTTATGTACATAAGTGTCAGAGCGTGTCATGTACGACTCACGACTGTACGACCCAGGTGGGTTTCTATCCCAGGAGGCATCCCTGGTGGGTCGCTGCTGCAGCTTCCAAGCGCTTTTTGGCTGCGTTTGATGGGGCATTTTTTCGGGCCCACGAGATATCCAACAGGTGACAGTTTTAGACAGGAGCTAGTGATGAAACGAGCAGAAGCCAACGATGGACTTTTAGCAGGCCCATGAGGTTAAACCGCACAGTGCGTGTGTGTATAGTTTTCCGATTTGCAGGTTTACAGTTTCTACCGGTCGCTATTTTGATCTACTCTGTGGCAATATCATGCAACTAAAAAATAAACTATCAGAATCAAACCAGTTTCGCTATGTGGGCCATGCATTCAAGACAGGGTGCCACAAACTTTGCCAACGCAATTGATGTTCAATGGATGTTCAATTTAGTTTCAATTGATTTCAATTTGATTGCCATTGAATTTCAATTGAACTCAATGGATTTTCAATTGGTTTTCAATAGATTTCAAATTACTTTCAACTGAAATTCGGTTTGCTTTCAATTGATTTCAATTTACTTTCAATTGATTTCAATTTATTTTCAATTGATTTTCAATTGATTTCAGTTTAGTTTCAGTTTATGTCAATTTACTTTCAATTTATTTCAATTTATATACTTTCCATAAGTTAATTTTAGTTTCAGTTTACGTTCAATTAATTTTCAATTGATGTCAACTTACATTAAAGTGATGTCAACTTACATTAAATTGACTTCAATTGATTTCAATGTACGTTCGATTGATTTTCAGTTGATGTGAACTAACTTTCAGTTGATTTTCAATTGATGTCAATTTAGTCTGAATTTATTTTCAATTGATTTCAACTTACTTTCAATTGACATCCCACAGTAATCCACAAAAATATCATGGAAATCCCTTAGGAATCCCACAGAAATCCCATAGAACGATCATAGAAATAACATGGAAATAGCATAGGAACCACAAAGAAATCGCATAAGAATCCCATAGAATTCCCCCAGGAATCCCATAGAAATATCATAGAAACATCATGGAAATCCCATAGGAATCCAATGGTAATCCCATAGACACCCATAGGAATCCCATAGAAATACCATCGACATCCCATAGAAATCCAATAGTAGTCCCAAAGAAATATCATAGAAATACCATGGAAATCTCACAGGAATCCAATAGAAATCCCATAGACATATCATAGAACCACCATAGAAATCCCAAAGAAACTTTAATGGAAATCCTATAGCGGTCCCAAAGAAATCCTCTAGAAATATCATAGAAATACCATAGAGATCCTTTTTAAATCCCATAGGAATCTCATAGAACTATCATAGGAACCCACTAGAAATATCATAGAAATATCATGGAAATCCCATAGGAATCCCACAGAAATCCCATAGAAAGATCATAGGTCCAACATGGAACCACAAAGAAATCTTATAAGAATCCCATGGAATTCCCTCAGACATCCCATGGCAATCCCATTGAAATATCATAGAAGCACCATGGAATTCCCATAGGAATGCGATAGGAATCACATAGGAAACCCAAAGAAATCTTAAGAAACAGCACAGAAATACCATAGAAACACTATAGGAATCCAATTGAAATCCCATAAGAATACCATAGAATGCCCATAGCACCCCTTCAGAAATCACATAGTAATCTCATAGAAATATCATAGAAACATCAAGGAAGTTCCATAGGAATGCAATAGGAATTCCATAGAAATCCAATAGTAATACCGTAGAAATATCATAGAATTCCAATAGAAATTTCATGGAAACCCCACAGAAATCCTAGAGAAATCCCATAGAAAAATCATAGAAATATCATAGAGATCCCATAGAAACCTGATAGAAATCCAATGGAAATCCCATAGACATCCCTTTGAAATCCCAGAGACATTCCAAAGAACAACCATGGAAATCCCATAGAAATCACACAGGAATCCAACAGAAATCCCATAGTATATAATCCCATAGAAATTCATAGGAACCCAAAAGAAATATCATGGACATCCTAAACAAACACCATAGAAATATCATACAATACCAGGGGACCCCCATAGGAACCCAAAGGAAATCCCATAGACATCCTTTTGAAACCCCACAGGAATCCGACGGAACTACCATAGACACACCTTTAGACACATGATATTCGCCATAGAAATTGCTTAGGATTTCAATAGAGTTTTTATCAAAATCCCATAGACACCATAGAAACCAAGGAGAGGATGCCAGGAGAATTGAACTAAGTAAGAGACAAAAGCTATAGCAAAGGAAAGGAGAAAATGATTTTGTAAAACAAAAACGTGTCAAAAAAAAGCTGGACACAATAGAGGACCACCACAACAAACATACTATTGAGGGCCATGGTCATTCATTGATTTTTTTGGTTGGCTGAAGTTCATCCTTTGGAAAAACCTGCTGGTTTTGATTCCAAGAAGAATGAAGCTAAGTAAAAGAAACAAGCTTTGGCAAAGGAAATGGTAAACGGAATGCTTGAAAATTTTCACCCCAAACAGCAGCTGAACACAATAGCGGACCTGCACAGAAAACATACTGTTGAGGATCAGGCTTGCTGATGGACTACCCCCTTGAAAAATTGTTTGGGTACTGTTTTTTTAATTGGGTTTTCGTAAGGCGTCCTATATTTTGGGAAATTGGGCATTTCTGTGAATTCCAAAAGAATGGAGCTAAGAAAGTAAAAAGGAGAAGTATTAGAAAAGGAAAGGAAAAGTAGAGGAGAGAATGATTTTGGAACATTTTCACCTCAGACAACAGCTGGACACTAGAGGACCCCTACAACAAACATACTATGGAGGATCAGGGTTGCTCATGGACTACCCGCTTGAAAAATTGTGTGGCTGATTTTTTTTAATTGGTGCTTTAATAATGCATCCCATTCTTTGGGAAATTAACTAGGCGTTTTCAGAATCTCAAAAGAATGGAACTAAGAAAGTAAAAAAGGAACGGTTGCTTCTTCAGACAACAGCTGGACACAATAGAGGACCCCCACAACAAACATACTATGGAGGATCAGGGTTGCTCATGGACTACCTGCTTGAAAAATTGCGTGGCTGCTGTTTTTAATTGGTGTTTTAATAGTGCATCCGAACTAAGAAAGTAAAAAAGAAAAGGTTGCTTCTTCAGACAACAGCTGGACACAATAGAGGATCACCACAACAAACATTTTATAATTATTTTTTGTATGTTCAAAAGCATGCTGAAAGTATTCATTAAATAACTGTGTTTTTAACAAAATGGAAAAATCCAAAAGTTAAAAAATGCTGACAATGAAGCCTCAGAAAAAGACTTGACACAATAGCGACTCACCCAATCATTTCCACAGGGTCTGAATTATTTTGGGAAAACTTGACACAAAAGCGACCCACCACACTAATCGAAGCCCACATTAGTCAGTTTTTAAAAATTAATTTGTTCATTTGTTCAATTCATATAAAGTTATTTAGTTATTGCCCACCTGCCAAGTGAGGGTCTCTAGATTTTAGCAAAAGTGCAACTCCCTCACTCACACACTTCAGTTCTGTTTTCCTCGCCAAATCATCCCTGTCTTCCTCCCAGCTCCTGGTGATTTGGGGCCACGCCTGGACCCAAATTGCATATATATAATATTATATTTATTTTATTATATTTTATATTATATTTTGAATTATATATATAAATATAGTGTGTATATATTTTTTAATATCATGTATATTATATGCAATATCTATATCTATATATATATATATTGTATTTTAAAAATTATGTATATAATAGATATATATTATAATATATAATTAATATAATATTTAATTTTATATATATTATGATATCTATAGTTTTTCTATATTTCATATGTTATGTATATTATGCACAGTTTACATATATAAATATGTATATGTGTATTATATATATATTATATTATGTATAGTTTATAAATATTCCTATATATGTATTATTTTTTGTATTTATGTATTTATTTATTTATTTTATATATAGATATATTCTGTATACGGTATTTATATATATATATATTATGTATAGTTTATTTTAAATATATTTGATATATTTATTTCATAATTTATATTTAAATATAAATATATATTTATCTTATGTATATTATCATTATTATATATATAATATCGCCAGCTCCAGATGTTGTGGGCCATGCCTGGGCCCGAACTCGGTTTCGCCAGCTCCGGGTGCAGTGCCACGCCGGACCCGAACATATCGCCACAGCTCCGGATGCCGGTCAAGCTTGGACCCGAACGCACGCCAGAGAGAATGTCAGATAGAATGCAGGACAGAATGCCGGATAGAATGCAAGACAGAGAATGTCAGAATATATGCCAGGTAGACCGCCGGAAAGAATGCAATGTCAGAACGCATGTAGAATGTCATAAAGAATATTGAAAGATAGAATGTTGGAATAGATGCCTGATAGAATGCCAGATTGATTCCCTGAATAGAATGGCGGTAAAGATGCCAGAACGAATGTCACAATAGATGCCGGATAGAATCCCAGAGACAAGGCCATAGTATTTGCCAGGAAGTATGTCAGATAGAATGTCAGGGTAGTTGCCAGAAACAATGTCAGAGTACATGCTAGAGAGAATGCCAAATAGAATGACACCATATAAACCAACAACTAATCCCTTCCTCCTAATACTAAACATCCCCCCCTATTAATAAACACGGCAGGTAGTTTTTAGTATTAGGGGTGTATTTATTATTAGGGAACTCTATTAATAAAATTAAAACCCTTAATAGTAAAAACTATTTTTTCCGATCTCAAAATCAATGAAATTTCTTCATATAACGCAATTAAAATATTGCCGGAATTGGATTTCGAATCTCGAAGCTTCCCCCTAATATTAAATTAAAAGCCCTAATAAACACCCCGGGGTTGACTAGTTTTTAGTATTAGGGGGAAAACCCACAAATGGTAGCTTGATAAATTGTTTTCTAAAGGGGATCAACTAAAAGTCAAATTGGCAAATCTGAAATTTTCCAAAATTGGAGATGGACACTAGTTTTTAGTATTTGGGCGGGGTTTAGTAATAGGAGGAAGGGATTATAATATATTTTTTTTTTTTTAAATATACATACATACGGATACGTATATATATATATATTTATATATATATATATAAAGATAATATTTTGTTTTTATATAAATAATATAATATAAAATGCTTATTTAAATATACTTCCAGACGGTACGTTTGAAACTACGGGAGAATAGTGTGTCAGGGTGGGATCCTTGGAAGTAAAGGCATTTTCTTGGAAATAGATATAGTTTTTTTTTATTATTACATACGTATGTCATTCCAACGAATGTAATGTAACATAATCCAATCTAATCTAATGTGATGTATTGTGTTGTGTTGCATTGTGTCGGTATGTAAGTATGTAGGTAGGTAGGTAGGTAGGTAGGTATGTAATGTATGTATGTAGGTATGCAATGTATGTATGCATGCATGCATGCATGTATGTATGTATGTATGGTATGCATGTATGGTATGTATGTAATGTATTGTATTGTATTGTATTGTATTGTAATGTAATGTAATGTAATGTAAGGTAATGTAATGTAATGTAATTTTGTTTGTATATAATGTTTTGTTATGTTAAGGTATGTTTTGGTATGTTATGCAATGTTTTGTTTTTTTGTATGTATGGTATGTATGTATGGTATGTTTGGTATGTAAGTAATTATGGTATGTATGTATGTATGCATGCATGCATGTATGTATGTATGTATGTATTCATGTATGTATGTGTGTATGTGTCTATGCGTCTATGTCTCTATGTGTATGCGTGTATGTGTGTATGTGTGTACGTATTTAGTTTATCTATGTACGTACGTACGTCCCTAATGTATGTATGTATGTATGTACGTACGTACGTATGTATGCATGTATGTATTTTTGTATGTACTGTATGTAATGTATGTAATGTATGGTATGGTATGGTATTGTATTGTATTGGTATTGTATTGTATTGTATTGTATTGTATTGTATTGTATTGTATTGTATGTATGTATGGTATGGTATGGTAATGTAATGTAATGTGGTGTGATGTGATGTAATGTATTGTAATGTATGTATGTATGTATGTATGTTATGTATGTATGTACGTATGCCGGTAATGTAATGTAATGAAATGTAATGTAAAATAATTTAATGTAATTTAATGTAAGGCAATGTAAAGTAATGTAATGTATGCATGCATGTATGTTATGTATGATATGTATGGTATGTCCGGTTTGTATCGTATGCATGGTATGTATGGTATGTATGATATGTATGTATGGTATGGTATGTATGGTATGTATGGTATGTAGGGTATGTATGGTATGTATGGTATGCATCGTCTGTATGTAATGTAATGTAATGTAAGTATGTATGTATGTAAGTAATATAATGTAATGAAATGGAATGTAATGTACTGTAATATATGTATGTAATGTAATGTAATGTAGTGAAATGCAATGCAATGCAACGCAATGTAATGTGATGTGTGTATGTATGTACTGTAATGTACTGTAATGTACTGTAATGTACTGTACTGTAATGTAATGTAATGTATGTATGTAATGTAACGTAATGTAATGTTTTGTAAGTTATGTTCTGTATGTGTGTATGTGTGCATGTAGTGCATGTAATGCATGTAATGTATGTAATGTATGTAATGTATGCAATGTATGTAATGTATGTAATGTATGTTTGGTATGTATGTAATGTCATGTCATGTGATGTGATGTGATGTAATGTAATGTAATGTAATGTAAGTATGTATGATGTATATATGTAAGTAATGTAATGAAATGAAATGAAATGTAATGGAATGTATGTATGTATGTATGCATGTATGTATGTATGTATGTTATTTGATGTTACGTCATGTTATGTTTTGTTATTTTATGATATGTTTTGTTATGTATGTATGTATGTATATATTTATGTATGTACATACATACATACGTAGGTACATACATACATACATGCATGCATACACACATACATACATACATACATACATACATACCAACATACCAAACATACATACATACATACATACATACATACATAGATACATTGCATCACATTACATTACTTTACATTGCCTTACATTAAATTACATTACATACATACATACACTACATACATACATACATCCATACATACATACATTACACTACATTACATTACATTACATCACATCACATCACATTACATTACATTACCATACCACACCATGCATACATACAATACAATACAATACAATACAATACAATACAATACAAATACAATACAATACAACACAAATACAATACCATACCATACCATACCATACCATACATTGCATACATTACATACATTACATACATTACATACATTACATACATACCTACATACATACATACATACATACACTACATACATACATACATACATACATACATACATACATACATACGTACATACATACGTACATACATACATACACAATCGAAAACCAGTTGCCAGGCTAGGCTGAAGTTGTTTAGTGCGAGCAAAGTGAAAGGGGTTTGGGGTGGGGGACAAAAAAGTATGGCCAACATGGCGATGTGCCATTACCAAATGGTGGTGCACCAATGCACCGATTTTGCCGCCTATACGTCTGGGACGGAGACCAGGAATGCCTGGGAGGCTGGGAGTTGCGAGGCCAAACGGTTGCCACAGGAGAGGTTTGCCACATGAGGGTTGCCAAGGTAGGGGCTACAAAAATATTCAAGCAATTGGAGCTGCTGCTTGAAAACTGGACTCTTGGAGTTGACAGCAATCCATTTTGGGAGCATATATTTGTAGCGTTGAAAGGGTTCCATTTTGGAATCATTGCGCTGGGCACTGTTTTCTTTTGGGAAGCATTGTGTTTGTCCACCGCGTTCCAGGTTGCCACATGAGAGGGCTCCCAGCAGGGGTTGCCAAGGTGAAAGGTTCAATATAGGTTCCATCAAGGCAGACGTTTGCGGGTTCAGATTTTGAAGGACTGTAGTTTTTAGTTGCAAGTTTGTTTGTTTTTTTTCAGGTGTTCCTTTTGGGGGTGTTGTATTTTTGGAGCACGCAACGCTCCATTTTGTGAGCCTTGTCGTTTTTTGTGCTGAACAGATTGAAAAAAAAATTGGGAGGCATTGCCGTTTTCAACGGCAACCAAATGCTAATGCTAGATTCCAGGGTTGCCGCATGAAAGGATTGGCAAGGCAAGGGGTTGCCAAGGTGAAGGATGCAAGCGAAGCAGAAATGTTTTGTTCCAATTTTTGGAGCATTGGTCCTCTAGTGTTTGAGGGGGTCCATGTTGGAAGCATTGTGCTTTTCGAGTTGAAAACGCTCAACCTGGGAGCCTTTTTTTATCTGTGCACCCGCCATTGTGGATTTTTTTCTTATCGATCCCCTCAAATTTTGTCTAAACCTTATCTGGCCTTTGCAATCACACACATCCAGTTCCAAGTCCTGACAAAACAGCACCATAGTTAGACAGTTGGCCTGCCTTTCGCCACACCCTTGTTTCCGGTGTTTTTGCCCCATGCTGAAAGATGCATGTGAATCTATGTTAGGTTCCATATGTCACCCAACGATGATCGTTCTACCACCAAGGCCATCGTGGACGTCGCAATGACTGCGGGCGGCGAGGCTGAATCGTTGAGCATCTACTCCTGCCTGGCTGGGCTGAAGGTCTTGGACGCTCCGCCTGCCAATATACAGACCTTGGTTTGTGGTGCTGGGGTTTTACACGCGCAACAGTGATGCTGATGTTTTTTCCGATATCGTGATTGAAACATGAAAGTCAACATAATTTACATTCAATGCAGTATGAGGGTGTACCCATCAATCTTTATTTGCCGCCGTTGTTGCTGGGTGGAGGCCATGTGCGAGGTGAATATTTCAGCAATTGTTTTTCAATAGATATACACACAATATAATATTCTGCACATTGGGCCAATGGCTCGCCTTTAGCCCTTGCAAAACTCCCGGGGATAGCGATGGAGAGATAGAAAGTGAATATCATGCTGACATCCCGCGGACAAAATCTAGGATGGTACTGAGATGATTCTTCCCCACGGTGTCCAAGCCTACAATAATTTTAACTTGTTGTCGTGGGATTTCTCTATCTTGCTGCTTCAAGGTAGATAGGATAAGCCGTGTAAGCCGGCCAACGATCCGTTGATGCCATGTTTACCATTTACATTATATACAAATGTACCGGTGTGTGCGTGTGAAGCTGCCGTGCTGCCTAGCCCCTTGCTTTTTATGACATTGTTTAGTTTGATGAACGCGGTTCGTGTCTTGAGAGGGCACAAAAACATTTTCAGCCTATGTTGAACATCATGTTTGTAAAACGGCCTTGATACAGCCTGATACAAGCAGATGTCAAACCTTTGCAGCCTTTTTGCCACGAAGGAACCAGCATCCCCGTGACCAACAGCGGGGGTACAGCCAGCCAGTTCCATAAGGGCATGGCCGCCCCAAGACCAAACCGTATCTCTTGACACGTAACCACAAGATTTTGCAGCGCATAGCTGGGAATGGCTGCTAAAGCAAAGGGACCAGGTATTGGATCCACCTCCTGTGCCAGAGAACCAAACAGAATGAACAGAGTGCCCATATTCACAAGTATGTCAAAAGAACCTTGGAACCTTGAACAACCCACCCTTGCCCAATCTAATTTTTTTGATGGCTTCAAAAGCTACCCGGGGTAAACAAATCCGCTTTACACTGCATAGACGGAAAAAATGCCAATGTTGTCCTTTTTCTGCGGCCCCGCCAGAAGGGTGCTTTAGCTCATTGTTTAGTTGCGGTTCCGGGTGTGTATTTTCCTGCGGCCTCTACGGTAGTTCCATGTGGTTTTTCCTACCCACCGCCCATGGCCCAGAAAATTGCCACCCGCTCTCGGGACGCGCCTGACACAGTGGTGGAACAATTGGTTCAGCGTGCCCTTTCTCGGGGCGTGGATCTTGAGCACGAGTCCATGACACGAGTGAGGCACCTGTCGCGCGCGTGGGAATCTGCTTGGTGGGTTGGTGTGAAATACAAATAGAAAATCTTAGCCTAACCCACGCAAGTAATTATGTAAATTCTCAAGTTAATTACAGTAACTGGGATGAGGTTTCCCAGTTGGCTTGTATATATTCTTCATGTTTGGGCTGGGTTGAATTCACAAATCAGGAACGTGCAGGGTGAATGCCAAAGTGGCCCGATATTCTCTTATATAATTATAGAAATAAAGAGACATGTCGGGGCGGTGTGATGCATCAGGCATGAGCTGGCCAGAACCTTGGTAGTTCTAGCCAAAAACCAGTGTTTTCCTGTCCCCTGCATCTTTTCCTGTGAATATTATATGATGTTCAAACGCCATCTGGTGGTGGAAAGGTTTTTGTGGGTCTTTCATGGTTTTGTCATATTTTGCGGTTTTCATCTTGGCCAGGCATTCAGACTGCCCAGCATGGGTGCCATCCACCGTCGGAGTTGAATCCATGATGGTGTGAGCCGTTTGAAACCGTCAGGAACCCGGGCTTGGATGGAGCTTTCATTATTTCAATGCCTGGCGCCGATTTTTTTGTGATTTCGCATCGTTGTAAGTGAGCATCATTCCCTTTCATAGTCATTGCGCAGGTTGCGATGATTTTCTGGGGGGCCACAGCGACCATGCGATTGTGAGCTTCTCATCCCATCATGCGTAATTGGTACAACATGGTACAACCCTCTCCTACCAAAGATTATCGATGATCTTTTGGTAATTGATGATTTCCGCTTGTTGAGCCGGGTTCCAGCTGTAAGCACCCGAGAGCCATGTACAAAAATTGCTCAGTTGCAGGTGCCGCGCACAGCTTTGCACAATTTGACGGAATGCTGCATGGATGAAAACACATACCAGTAGGACTCTTGGATTCTCATGGTGTTTCTAGTGTCAGTACCGAATGACGCCAACATCCTTGCCTGCCTACTTTGTGGGTACTGGTCAGGGTTTAGTTTGTCAAATCACAATATAAAAAAATATTTTACCCATGCGCGCATGAATCAGGGAGGAGCAGGGCCCGCCTCGAATGCCCGAAAGCATCGGAAAGTGCACGTGATGCATGCGGGAACGATTGGGAGGTGCTGAAACATAGCACTAAGCTGCCGAAGCCCCATCTCTCTGACACGGTTAAAAGTCTCGCGGCACTTGGTGGACAGGTGGCAGATAGTTTCTGGGCGGGAGCAAAGGCCAACCACTGGGGTAGACATAAACATGGGCATAGCTTCCCAAGAGGGGCGACGCTAAAAATCTCTTGGAGACCAGGTGGCTTCGTAGAACCTAAGTAGTCATGCACTGACTCCTCATACTTGCGAGTAATCCACTTGGCTTGAGCTTGCATGTGACTTGGATGATTCTTGACCTCAGCAGCATTGACTGGGGCCTCATGCCCTCATCTCATGACAACAACCAGCCCCGCAGGCCCCGCATTAATTTAATTTCAGTAAATGTTTCACCGGCCAAGATGACAGCACAGGCCAAGGGGATCTGTTTGACTCTTAGGACACATCACCCATACCCATTGCCAAAGATTGTTCAACAGACGCTATTCATTTTGGCATGGTGCAGTGCATATTCCTTTTTCTGTGTTCTTGCCCACCAAGTTGATCACCCTGTGGCACGAAATGCGCTGAACCCGCCGCAGGTCTTTGTTTGCACATGGCCATCAAGCTGGATGAGCCTATCAGGTTCGACGTCACGGAAGTGCCGACTTCTTGGCTTTGCCCCTTGGCCCCGCAAATGGCGGCATTAATTTGCTGGATAGCTCGCATACTTGCATGTGGAACCCTGTGTGGTTGAGGATATATGAGTACCAGTAGTACCGCACAAGGCGGTGGCGGAAGTTTCAGAATAGGAAACCTGTAGGAGACGTTGGTTGTTGTGAATCACGGATGGCAGAGCGAATCCACTGATTGACCGAAAGGTGGTTGGAGTTGTGTTTGCTGGAATGGTTGCAATGGTTGCAGTGGTCACCTCACCCACAACTGCTGGATGTAGTGTGATGTACTGCAACTGTAGTTGTAGCTGTAGCGTAGTGGAGTTGTAGTTGTGGTGTAATGTAATTAGTGTAGTGTAGTTGCAGTCATATAGTTGTAGCTGTAGTTGTTTTGTAGTTGTAGTTGTAGTTGTAGTTGTTGTAGTTGTAGTAGTAGTAGTTGTTGTTGTTGTAGTTGTTGTTGTAGTTGTTGTTGTTGTTGTTGCTGTTGTTGTTGCTGTTGTTGTTGTTGTTGCTGTTGTTGTTGTAGCTGTAGTTGTTGTAGTAGTTCTAGTTGTTGTGTAGTTGTGTAGTTGTTGTAGTAGTAGTAGTAGTAGTAGTGGTAGTAGTAGTAGTAGTTGTAGTTGTTGTTGTTGTTGTTGTTGCTGTTGTTGTTGCTGTTGCTGTTGTCGTCGAAGTTAGGGTAGTCAAGTTAGTTAAGTTAATCATAGTTAATCAGTGTCTACTTTTTCGACATCTTCACGTCAAAAAAGGCTCAAAACCCTCAGTTTTTTTTACACTTTTGACTTCGAAATGTGCTTCGCGCCACAACGGCGTGCACTTTTTCGACACTTTTTCGACATCTGAACCTCCAAAAGTGGTCCGAGACCGTCAGTCTTTAACACTTTTGACTTGGAAATGTGCTTCGTGCCACAACGGCGTGCACTTTTTCGACATCTCAACTTCCAAAAGTGGTCCGCTCCTCTAGTGTTTTGTCCATTTTGACTTGGAAATGTGCTTCGCGCCACAACAGCGTGCACTTTTTCATGTCTCATCTGGCCAGCTGGCTCCGCACCCGCCGCTTTAGCGAGCCTACTTTTCGACCCTCCGGAGCCACAAATCATTGGAAAAACACAGTGAGTCGCGACTTTCCTATCTTTTCGCGCATCTGCATCTTCTTTCTTCTGATCTTGTCTCTTCTGACTCGTCTCACCTCTGCTTTTCAACTGCCCATATTGTCGGAAGTTTCGCTTCTAAACTTCCTTCGATAAGGGTCTAACAGTCAAAACCAAACTTCAAACAAACCGACCGATTTTGGCCAGCCCCAGCTGCTTGAACCGCATTATACGTTTATGATTTATGTTTTCATTCTGTTTGCAAACCACTATAGCGCTTGATTTGTTTGAACATTTCAAACATATATATATATATATTTCTCTCACAGGCCTCAGATGCTTCTGAGAGCAGGGAAGAAACTATATATATGACTGTATATGTCATATATGTGTGTTTTGCTCATTCAGTTACTTTTAATTTTGCCTGTTTTACTCTCTCTCTCTCTATATATATTATAGATATATCAAATGATATTAACTACTATTCTTACTTTTATCCTGTAGGTTTTTCCCCCGCGTCCCAGGGCTTAGCCAGATATTCTGCATCCTTCCTTCCTTCCTTCTTTCGCTCTTCGCTTCCTCGCTTACTTCGCCAGATTCATGCCAGCAGATGATTGCCAGCTTCCTCGCTGCGAGCTCGCCAGCTCTCTGTGGCTTGCCGGGCCTGAACGGTATGGGAGCTCCTAGGCTCTTTGCTGGTTTGTGGGCCGGAACACTACGCCAGATAACATGTCAGAATATGTTGTCAGATGGAATGCCAGAAAACGGCACCAACAAAATTTTTCAATAAATCCGAGAGAAAAGGGAAAATGTCAGATAAAGCGCAAGATAGAACGCAAAAAAAAAACAGATAGAATGTCAGTTCATGGGGATCATTCAAATCCCATGAGGTTATCTTTACTTTGCTTAGGTAATGCATCCTTCTGGCCATAAAATTCTTCACAAAACATGTGTAGAATCTCCATCGCCGCCACAAAAACCTACTTTCCTTCCGAAGACTGCCGCAAGGCAAGCATTTAATATTTTCCATCATGCCAACCACGCAATACACATAAAGCACAACAGTGGCTTCAAATATTGCAAAAATAGAAGGAACAGAGAACAGAAACAAGATAATAGGGAACACGCTGAACTTTTCAAAGACCATGGGAAACACAACTAAACAAACAATGATGTCACAAACATGTTGGCACCCCATCAAAGTGACCAAAAGCTGACCAAAATAATGTTTTGATATGTTTAAATCAATTGACATTTGGAAATTTGGACAGTAGACTTGCTGGGTAGCTCAACTTTGTTTATTGACTTTTCTTGGATCCCATGTCAAGCTTATGTGTTGTCTTGTTTGTCTATTGCCCACCCGGATGGGGCAGCCCACCTGCGGCCTACTGGTATCTACATGTATCTACCAGCTTTGCTATGCCTCGTTTTTTTTGCGATCGGGATTTTCACTTGCCTCCTTATCCGGCCACGAACGGCTTGGTTTTGAAGTGCCCAGCTGAATTTCAGGTGAGAAGGCTTTCTAGAGTCTAGAGCACCGACAAGTTGGCTGCACAATGGTGCTTGGCAGATGGCCGGATCTTTTCCAGCAGAAGCAAAGTCATGGTGGTGCAGCAAAAATGTAGGTGCCCAGGGTAACTTGCAAGGATTTGCCATTAGATCTTAACCCACTCACTAGATTCCGGCAGTTAAACAATGTAGTTTGATGTATTGTTTTGCGAGGGCTTCGTTTGAATGTTCAGAGAAATTTTGATTTTAGACAGACTTTTTGGATTGGTTCCCCACGTCCATGGATGCTGCAATGACTTCCGTGTTACAATAATATGGCACCCTGCTACTTCAAGCACCTCGCAGGTTCTCTGGGGCTCGTCGGATAGGAGCGTCATTGCAGAGCCTTGCAGGACCCGAACGCAATCGGGAGCGTGCAGGCTTTTTGGGTTTTGCTTGACCAAGACGATTTGCGTGACAGAAATCGGCGGGTGCTGAAACCTATAGCACCGAGTAGCTTGGACCGTTGGAAATTCAGCCTGACGAGCAGCTGTCAGATGCTTCTGGACAAAAGCGCCAAAGATCAACCTCAGTGGGCTTGATGGAGCAAAGGAAACATGGAAAACACCGTTTGTATAAGCGTATAGTATCTTCCCATTGGGTGCAGTTGAAATGCGGCAATGGAAAATCCCCCAAGTTACATGTTGAACTGCAAATCATCTGTAGGCGGGTGGTTTTCTGTTGCGCTGTTTGGCTTCATGTTCTACGCAGATGTTTCCAGCGCGGTGTCCTTCCAGCTTCATCAACAACTTGAGTCCATGTGGTCGAGTCTCAGATGTAAAACCAAAACAAAATGTGTCTTGGTTCATGAGGATCAATGAACCAATCAACTATGCCAACCATTGCCCACGACGTCTGCGACCTTTGCCGAAGATTTTTTTTATTGGCTTGACCACTTGACCGCGTCTTTTCTGGGAAATTGGGGCTTCAACATTCGCAGGGGCCGCCACCCCGCTGAATTTTTTGGGGCGCCCATATCCCACTTCATATGTTTACAGTAGACAGTTTTCACGCCGTCCATGGATAACAAAGGAATATCATATCCGGTCCCCTGGTTGGAGAATTTCACATTTTCAGGGGGCGCTGGCTCATCCCATTGCTTTTGGCTGCAGT